TCAGGAGGCGCTACTTCACTGTCAGGGCGGCTAGGATCTGGAACCAACTTCCAAGAGAAGTGGTGCTGGCTCCTACCCTGGGGGTCTTTAAAAGGAGGCTGGATGAACACCTTGCTGGGGTCGTTTGACCCCAGAGCTCTTTCCTGCCATGGCAGGGGTCGGACTTGATGATCTGCTCAGGTCCCTTCCGACCCGACCAACTATGAAACTAGGTGAATGTGATGGGAAATAACGAATGGCCACCAGCACAATTAGGCTCATCTAAGGAATCCTAGTCACCTTTCTGCCTCCCAGGTCCCCAGTCCCATATTATGCATTGTTTGGCATCCCTACATACAGCCGTAGCTCGCTCAGGATGCCACTGTGCCAGGAGCTGCATAGCTCCTTACAGAAAGAGCCCCTGTGCCAAAGAGCTGGACGTCTATTAGCTGACATCCGCCCCCTCGCTCTCTCAGCAACTTGCTCACAAGCACTCACCATGCATTGATGCACCTTTTCCAGAGGGACTCCCGGTGGTGGATGAAGGCAGGTTTTGTGCTGTGCTCCAGGCGGCTGTGAGCTTTCAGTGTCTCCTTGGGGATGGTCAGGGTCGGCAGGTCAGCCAACTGCAGGCACACGAGCCGAAAATACAAAAACCACTTAAGACTATGGTGCCAGACGAGAAGGGCAAGGCCACCCCGGGGAAGGAGGGAGAGCACCCGGCAGCCCCCTTCTCCCCGGGCCAGGGAGACTGGGCTCGGCCTCACCTGGCTCTGGAAAGGCAGCGAGAGCGTCTCCAAGACGCGGCCGGAGACCAGCGCGTTGTTGCCCTCGTAGAGGGTGACGTCCCCGGGCAGCGGCGGCGGAGGGAAGAGCGCCAGGGAGCACATCCTCAGCGCCGGGCTCGGGAGAGAGGGGCTCAGTCCCGGGGGCTCCCGCGCCTGAGGAGACCCGGCCGCACCCTGATGGGCTCCGCGTTTCCCGGGCACGATTCGTCCGCCTACGGGTCCCCGCTCGGGACAATCGCCGGCCTACGGGTCGCCGCGCGGGACCTTCCGCGACACCGACGGGTGCCCGCGCGGGACCTTCCGCGCGAGCAGGGCGGCAAGCAGGTGGTGGGCGGCTGAGAATTAAAGGGGCCGCGGCCTCATTTCCGTGCCCGGCGCCGGGGAGCACTGGGCTCTGTGCCGCGCTCCCAGGGTCACGTGCCTCAGTTTCCCCGGTGCGCGGGGTACTAGGGTGGCAGCCGGGCCTGCTGCCTGCACACGGCCTCCTCCTGCATCTCACCCCTGCGGTGTGGATGTGTGTGCGCGCGCACGTGTGAGTGCGTGCGTGCCTGTGCATCTGTGTGTGTGGGCGTGCATGTGTCTGTGCACGCGTGTACATGTCTCTGCATGCGTGTGCGTCCATCTGTCTGCATGGGTGCTTCTGCCTGTGTCTGTGTGTGCGACCCACCAGCTGGGTGCATTACTCGTTCTGTGTGTGCAAAATCCTGGCTTTTATCTGGGTATGTGTCTGTGTGTAACTGGCTTTCATCTGTGTGGGTGTGCTTAAAATCTTGGTTTGTGTGTGTGTAAAATCCTGGTTTCCATCTCTGTGTGCACAGGCTTGCACGTGCATGCTTTCATGCGTGTGTACGCATGCACACGTGTGTGTATAAAATGCTGGTTTCCATGTGTGTGTGTGCCGGCTTGCATGTGCATGCTTCCATGCGTGTGTATGCATGCACACGTGTGTGTGTGTGTGTATAAAATGCTGGTTTCCATCTGGGTATACACAGGCTTGCATGTGCATGCTTTGTGTGTGCATGTGTGTGTATCCACGTGTGTGCACGTGTAGAAAATCCTGGTGTCCATCTGTGTGCGCACAGGCTTGCATGTGCATGCTTCCCTGT